TATTGTGACTTGAGTGATAGTGTACATGGGGGAGCATCAGTTTTACACTCATCGTTTTATTGCATTAATTACAGTCCCCTCCGTGCATCATCGTTCAACAGTATTTGCTTCTATTCCCTCTGTTTTTAGTATATATTCATTTAAGCAACCAAAGGGCACATTCTGCAAGCCTGCCTCCTGGCCGAGCTGCCTTTATTTATATCCATCACTCTGTGTAACTCTTGGGTTTGTTCACGCTCCTTGCTTCCTAGTCATTGTGTTTTGTTGTATGTAGACATGCTGTGAACATCCATGTGTTTTTCTGCTTAGGAGCCTCATAATCGAAGAGCAGAGCTTCTCATTATGCGAAGACCTTCTCTACGGAAGAATGTCATTCCGAGGATTTAATCCTGAGGTTGAGGTATTAAACATAATGGCTTCATATGGAAAGATTTCCAATTGAATTCTTTCTGCTAATAATTGGGCTCCAGTTTTCCCCACCAGCTACCTTTCCTCATCATTACAGAGAAAGTAACAAGTCTTGAAGAATGGCATGTGGTACAGTTCTATGGTAGGGCTGAGTGTCCCTGACAGATGCCCAGAGCATGGGCGTTCCCAGCCGGGTCTCTTAGCAGAAACATCAGCGTTCAAGTCATGTCATGCCTGTAGAAAAAGTTATTTCCTGGCATCTATAAATGCCTCTTTTCTCATGAGGGTGGGAATCCTACTAAAAATTGTGCCATTTGACTTGCTTATGGCCAAACTTTTACCCCAGGCTTGTAAGTAGATTTTTAAGTGAAACTTGAAAAGTGAGTATTTGCCTTGTGACGGGACTATTTATTTGCATTTTTTTGCTTGGGCTTGATTCAGCAAATGGTTTATTTATTTGTTAGAAGTCTTGCTCCTGTGATAAAAGTCATCCTGTCTGAGGCTGACCTATGAAATGGACATTCGTGGTGTAAATTGCCTTTTTGTAACTGAAGGCAAGCTTTCTCTGTGCCAGGGACTTTGCTGTGCATTGTGGGATAACCAGCAGCAGCCGTTGAGTGGACTCACTAGATGCCAGTGGCAGCCCAAAGCCCTAGTTGTTTCAGCCAGCAGACATTAACAGATGTCCCCTGGTGGGGGAGCAAGAATCATCCTAGCTAAGAACCTCTGCCCTAAAGGCGCTTATGTTAGCTAGAACCACAGTGACCTACAATGCTGTTGGTGTTGGTAAGTGCCTCTGAGTCGGTTCTGACTCCTAGCAACCCTGTAGAGGGTTGTCGAGCAGCTGGTGACTTTGAACCATCGACTTTGCAGTTTAGACCAACGTTGCAGCGGTCCAGTGCTTATCCTGTAGCGTGACACCAGGGCTCCTTAAGGTGGTTGTATTCGTGAGAGTCACAGTTACCTACGTAGTGGTCAGCGTTTACCTCAAGATGATGGGCTTGGTTTTTCCCCCATTTTCTAAGGGCTGTGATAATTGTCACATGTACTTTACACAAAGTCCAGTCAGATAGGGATTCTTGCTAATATGAGGGGACTGCAAAAACGTCATGAGGATAATTCCACAATATGGTAATTCCATTTTTCCACCAACTTTCTAAAGCCCCCTCTTATATACTTTCTTTGATTTGCTTGATCAGGAATCTAAAGAAAAAAACCAAAACACAAGGATTATGGGTACATGGTACAAAAATGTGTCAGGTCCAGCTGGGAAAGAACCAGCTCGGCCCACTGGCCTTTGATGATATTGGGAGGAAATGGTTTTGATTACTGGACCCCATCACACTGATGCATTCTCTCTAGGAAGAGGTTTTGAACTTGAGCTTCTAAAGCCAAGCAGTCTTAAACTTTTGAGAAAAGTTCCGTTTTCTTAGTGATTAACAGAAAAGCATGATACCAACATAAAAGTGCTTCGTTTTTAACAGATACTTTTGGAACACTGATTTTTTTTATTTTTTTTTGAGTCTCCAGTGACATCTAGCGTTAACCAGTGCAGTTGCCACTAAGTGGCCCCCATCTCCTGGTGTCTCGTGTGTGCCTTGGCGTTGTCACTGGCTGATCTTGGGGCAGTAGAGTACCAGGACTTTTCTTCTCTGCACCTCTCATTAGACTCAGGTCTAGCCATTTCCGGGCGCGTGTTGCCTTTTCACACCACACAGGGACTCAGCCACCGAGCACCACATGTGTTTATCCCGTCAGTATGTACCCTGAGCCTGCAGTCAGTCCAGCAGCCTCCTCCAGGTGTGGAAATGCTGCAGGGAGCCAACTCGGGCCTCCGGGAGCTTGTGCTCCTCAGACTATTTGAGGCTCAGTCCTTGACACGTTGGTCAGACATTGAGACTGGTTTCTCCTCTGCTCTCCTCTCCTGTGCTGTTCTCCTTGCTGATGGGAAGTTGTTACATGTTCAGAGGGGGAGCGGGGGGCTGGTCAAAGGACAACTGTTGAGAACAGGTTACTGTAGAAGTCCAGTCGTGGCGTCTACAATGTTAACACCGTGTGAAGGAAGGAAGCCAGTCACCAAGAGACAAGTCGTGTCAGATCTGACTCGGGCAGCATCGCTAGACCAGGCAGAGGGTTAGAGATCGGACTTCATTTGTGGGGGCTGGGGAGCAGTACTTTTCTGTGTATAGGAATTTGGTGATGTGCCCGGTGATGATTACGCAACATGATCATGTTGCGCTGGCAAATGTGTTGTATGTATTTTTACAACAATAAGGACTCAAGATAGAAAAGAACAATAGAGGAGTGCCCTGTGGCTCACGTGCCACCTCGGGTTTGGGCATAAGATGCCAGTTTTCTCCTCGGTTCCTGAACTGCTCTGCTCGTCGTCTTCTAGCCGCTCATTTGCTCTTGTTTTCTGTCCCCACCGCCCACCCCCTCAGAGCATTTGAAATTACTGTTCACTATAGTGCTTCTTCTATTGACTCAAAGATGGAACACTGACAGAGAATTGTGGAGGGTTTTCTCTCCACCTTTTACTGGAGTGTGATGTCGTATGCCCACTATAAGTACTTTGTTGTTACCTGCCATAGACCCCATGCACAGTGGAGTGAAGCACTACTCGGTCCATCGCCATGCCCTTGACCGAATGTGTATCACATTTTCATAATCCATCTGATTTTTATTGGCTGATTTTCCGAAATTACCAGGTCTGTCTTGCTAGTGTGTCTTACACAGAAACCGATTTGGTCAGCAAATCTCTACTGACATGGTGGGGCCCATGCATGAGGTGGACTGGCCAGGAATCGAGCCTGGGTCTCCCAGATGGAAGGCAAACATTGTACCACTGAGCTTCAGATGCCTGCTTTCCATCTAGGTGACTGGGTGACTGAGAACTCGCTTTGTGGTCCTTACAGTTAAACTCTAATCTAACGGAGCTGTGTCGTCTTACTGTTTTAATCCAGAGTGGATCTCTAGTAGCCCAGTGTGACGTGTGTATTATACAGGAAGGTCTTAGCAATTCTGGCTGGTCGTGTGCTTTCTCTAATTTCAATCTCTTTATCTGACAGTAAGTGTGAGATCAGTTCCCTTCAAAGAGCTGTCCCAGCCCTGATAGTCAATATTGGTGTGTTTTCTAGAAACTAATGCTTCAGATGAACTCTAAGAGCAAAGCTGAGGAAGTTGAAGATGAAGCAGTGGAACTTGATGTGTCCGATGAAGAAATGGCTAGAAGGTAACCATGGCCCTGGATGAGCTCTGTAACAGGCACTTGAAAGGGCAAAGTGGTGGGAGCTGCTGTCCGGCCTGCCACCTGGAATGAGTTCAGGCTGATGAGGGTGCACATCCGCACCTACTGTTCAGTGTGCACTTCTGAACACAAGCCTCTGCTTTGGGACTTGGGATGTGAGATAAGGGCCTCTTCTCTTCCTTTTAAAATCCTGGTGATTAGAAAGCTTAGCACTTCAAACCCACCAGTTGTTCCACAGGAAAAAGACGTCTCCGTCTGTTTCTGTAACAGTGACAGCCCCGGAGACCCTATAGAGCAGTTCTGCTCAGCCCTGCAGGGCACTGTGGGTTGGAATGGATTGAGCAGCGGTAGATTGGAGTGGGTGTGGGAGTGGGGCAAGGTTTATCCCTTCTAAGAACCCATCCATAAAAGCTGACAGCTCATCACAGGAGATAAAAAGGCCATTTTAACTTATTGAAGCTAATGTAAAACCAAAAGCCCAGGGAACATATTACCACTCTGGGAGACGTCGGTACAGTTTTCAATCAGAAGCCTTCTTAGAATTGTAGTTTGATTATTTTCATTCTGTCAGATATTTGGTTTGAGATTCTTGACAGACTTCATTCTGACATTTTTCACCTGAAATAAAGATGTCTTATCTATCATCCTAACAGGTATGAAAGCCTGGTGGGGACAATTGGAAAAAAGTTTGCCAAGAAAAGAGATCGTGCCAATTTTGAAGAAGATGAAAATGGAAACATGAAAAAGACCAAGACAAAGAAGGTGTTCTTAAAACCCCA